CACACACACACACACACACACACACACACACACACACACACACACACACACACACACACACACACACACACACGGTTTCAGACTCTGACCATTTCCCTGTGATTTAATTTCTCAAAATGATGATGACTTTCACGAGGCACGGCTAATGGGCTGGGATAAAGACCGCCATATCTGCACCAGGTCTTTGATTATGAAAGCACACCTACACATGGTGCCCTGATTTTTAAATATTCTTAATTGGGGTTTTTCAAAACATTGTTAAATGCTGGCTCTGCTGCAATTAAAATAATCATCTCCGAACCTTAGTCCCAAACCCCCGTCTCCTGTCTGCACTATAAAGTGACACATTTGTTAGCGTGAATCAATAAGTGTACAACTAGTTTCTAAGTAAGCACTGCCTCAGCACACACATAATCTGTTTTGCCTTGCTCTGATCTTGTCCTCGTATGTGTTTCTCATCTGCCGAGGCCCCCGGCACACCACCAACAAACCTCAGAGGTAATTAGTGCGTCTTTCTCACACTTTAGCATCTGCCTGTGCAGGAGCTCCCAGCTCAGAGTTAGCCGACCCGCCCTGCCAGTTGGATTTTTGACATGCCAGATGTAATATTCAGTCAGCTGAGCTCCCCCCTCCTCTCTCTGCCTCTCCCTGGGTTTCTCACATCTTCAAGCCCTCGCTTTTCTCTGCTCTTTTCAGTCCTTCAATAAACCTTAACTTCGTATCTTCTCTGCTCCCATTTCTTGCTTTTTTGTTCAGGTCTGTTGATGCATTGATTGCCCGAGTGTTGTCTCCAGTACAATTCCCAAGGCAGCACAAAGACCATCTTCGATTCTGCCACGGTTGATGAACATGAACTCCCACTGCACATCAAATAAAACCACAGTGGAGGTATGTACAGTATTGGGACCAGGGGAGTACACGGTGTGAGTAAAGTGCTCAATATCAAGATAAAGGGACAGTAAAGCAATTTATCTGAGTGGGTGTTTTATATTTCAGCTTCTAAAAAACAAGTTCCTCCCCAGAATAGTCAATATTTTCTTTCACATTCCCCCTTACATCTTAACCTACAGTAGTGAGTTGTTGTGTTAAAGGGTGATTTTGTACATCAAATAATGTTTACATGTGTTTGGATGCATATGAGAAAATACGTTTTAGTGATTGAAAACTACTAAGTTTGAAAAAATAAGTTTCCCACTGCTTACTTCTGCTTGAGGCTAACAGCTATAGGCTACATTTGTAGCTACTACCATAACACGACTAAATATCCTATCAAAACTGTTTACCGCTAAGTTGCATCATGGGTAATGTAGGCGTCCGGTTTTGACAAGGATAGAGAATGGATGGACTACAAAATATGAGAAATTTCACTACATTTTCGACTTCCTCCTACCCTAAACTACAGTCCCTAATATAGTATTTTGACCTGCATGGGCTAAGCATCTGAGAATATCCATACATCTAAATTGCAAGGATCAATCCCTCTTCTCTCTAGTATAAATGTGCACATTCACATTCCTGAATGCACACATATCATCGTTTAACACCTGGGTTATATTGACCCAGGATCATTTTTCACCCCTCAACCTTAATCACTGATATCGATGGTTACCCCTTTGCCCTGATTGGTCTGCTTCATGATCCATTTCCTAAACATTATATCTCACTACCTCCCTTTTCTAAACAATTTAGTGAGAAGATTTTGGATCTCACATACCCACGCTAAAGCTGCAGAACCGTAACTCACAAACAGCAAGAACCTTAGGCTCTCTACTCGCTTGTGTTGCAGTGTTTTCTCTTTGTATCTGAGATCACGCCTACAAATGTTTGCCAGTATTGTTTTGAAAATCTGTGCTCCTTGTAGAACACACAGTTGTTGGATCCAGGCCTCATTTCAGCACAGCAGTGCAAGTAAACTTTTATAACTAGTTTCCCCATTAATGCATGCGGGTCATTCTGGAGTGGATTTAGTAGCTGGAGTTTTCTTGAAATGAATGCAAGACAGAGCCGGACAAAAGAACGAAATAGAGGCAGCAGAATGTATCATGTTTTGTGTTGGATAAACCAGGACAAAAGCACTCGTTATCCCTGTCCCACTGGAGCCACCCCCAGCTCCACAGCCACAGACGGTCCCGGCGTTGAATGAAAAGCATCCACCAAATGTCAAACACTGGTGTGAAAAACAACAAGCAGCTTGACCAGTCTTGTTTTGGCTTCAACATTGGATCGCAGCCAACTGTTCATCTTCTAACGAGCACAGATGCGCCGATGCACGCGGATGCAGTCCCTCGGTGCAATGGTGGCAATGAGAAACGGACCCAATTAATTATCTATTTACGTGTGATCTCAGCTGTCTGATTCCTGCCCTGCATTCGCATAATTGGCTTGCTAGCTGATGTTAGCCACTGAGCTCTTGGATCCTTAAAAGTGTTGTTATTATTCATACATCTACATTGTTAGCTATTTTGTTTTAGTCAATTGAGGTGTTTGAAGCTCCTAAATTATAACAGACTTTTGATAAATGATATGAAATGGTCACGAAACATAAGATCAGAAGCATAAGAATGACTCGTTAAATAATAACAACAATAATAGCAACAACTACACCATCATAAATGTCAGAACAGAGTGAACATGGCAAGGTGATGTATTCAAATGGCTTGCTTTTAAGTAGAAACTCCATCTTCAATCAATTAAAACAGCAAATCCTTACAGTTGAGTAGCTGAACATTTGTACTTTTTGGGCTAAAGAATGACTAGGTTTTAACTATATGTACATTTTGGCTGAATAAATTAGATGTATATATAGGAAATGTTATTTTTAGGAGTTGCTTTGGGCGTGTTTTCTAATGCCAAAGGTAAGGGAGCTCTTGTTTCCCACTCTGAGTCAAAGCCAGGCGTCACCTGGTGAAGAAGCTATTGAGCCATTACTATTGATCCACACACACACACACACACACACACACACACACACACACACACACACACACACACACACACACACACACACACACACACACACACACACACACACACACACACACACACACACACACACACACACACACACACACACACACACAGATAAATAGTGATCATTTTCTAACATTATGGTGCAGTAAAAAGCTAGCCTTGTTCCTCTTAAGTAGATCTGGTCAATAAGGAAAAGCATTATGTGAAATGATGTTCACAATCAGACAGAGGTGGAGTCCCTGACTGACCTGAGCTTTGACTCGTTCATAATAAAAGTCATAATGGTTACACCCAGGCACATGAAACGTGTCTGAGCAGAGGTTTAGATGTTGCATCAAAATCAATACCTTCAAATGTTTTCACTTCGACAGGTCATTCATGTGGGCTTAACATCTCTCAGTGTCTCTTATTTCCAATGCAATGTGGGTCTTCATCTGTGGATATTTTAAGACACATCAGCCTGAAGAGACTTTTCTTCAAGTGCAGACGTGTGTCAACACAGGCCGAACTGCATCAAACTCACAAATGAGCAAATCAGGATCACAGCTCCGTCTCTGCCCAGCGGCCTTATGGGAGGACGCTCCTGAAACACTGAGGTTAACAAGCAGCGGTTTGGATAAAAAGGAAAACACTTAAAGGGTGGAGAGCCCAACATCACCAGAGCATGTTTCCCTCACTCTGTGTCCTGCTCTGTATGTGGACTGTATTGATTGCCAAACCACTGTTGCAGCTCTAATCTTTCCTCTAAGTGAGCTACTGTCTGAGGATAAGCATTGCATTATGTTCATTTTTTATACCCGGGCTCTGTGTATGTTAGGTAGCAGTGTGCAGCGTGTGAGATAAAGATGCGTTGCTGCTTACAGGAAACCCAGCCCATCTCATAATGGCTCGGGAGGAGAGAGAAAACTGGATTTACATCCGCACTGTGAGTGCCAATGTACAGGGGCAGCAGGACTGCATACATTATGCGGTTGAGTAAACACAGAGAAACCGTGATAATGCACTCACCATGTTGACTTCTGACACCATGTCTATGCTGGCCACGTCTATGCTCATCCCCACTGCAACTGGGGCGCCTGCAAGAGGTTAAAAAGCACAATATGTAGAGACCCTTTACACCTGACCACAACACTGTGAATGGCGGCAAACATAAAGCACAGGGGGGGATTAGGGGGGGGTAAACATGGCACATACCTCCAAAGTCCGGCCTCAGTCGGATATCATAACCCTTCAGTAGTTTATCCACCGTCTCCTTCACGAAAGACATGTTCCCCGGTTCATTGACGCTGGAATGAGAGCAGAAGAAAGAAGGGGGGACATCACCTTGGCTCCGGCTGTCAATCAACCCGTGCAATAACCTTGACTTCTCACAGAATGACAGAAGCACTCACCTTTTCGCGCAACACACAATCGAACCGACAACCAGTGCGGAAAAGACGCGAAATTGACGCACCCTGTGCAAAGGAAACATCACCCCTATTTTTTTGTATGTGTGCTTTTCTGCGTTGTTTACAACCACAACAACAGCAGCAACAGTCGAGACGGCTCCGGACGCTCTTTCAAAATCAGAGTAAATCCATTTATTGCCCCGAGAGGTGAAAGTCGACTGAGAAGAGGGGTAAAAGTCAGCAGCTGGCAGTGGATGGAGTCAGATGTGAAATATGGGCAGACATCCCCGACTTCAAACACTGGCTCCGGTTTGCCGTGTGTGACTGTGCAGAAGAAGAAGAAGCGGCTCTACATTCAGGATCTGAAGCGCATATTGATGAGGAGTGCGCGCGGGGTGCTGCTGCTGGTGGCGGTGAAGGCACTCGGTTTGTTCAAATCTGAGACGAAGCCCAACACTTACACACTGTAAAAAACATCCACCAGTAGCTAATTTTAAGTCTTTCTTTTTTATATTTGGGGGGGAATATCCCAGAGCTCAGTTTCCCTTTATTGTAATGCATATAAAATCATTTCCAATGCATGAAGTGCTCTGAAAATTCTCTTCATTTTTTTTATTATTTGGCCAATAATCTGCCTCTGTCTATTTTAGGTATTGTGTTTTGATTGGATGTGGATGTTTAAAGGGTCACTAATGGCTTTGTAACACTTACAGTAAGTCGTAGGAATCACAAGAGACATATTTCGAAGCAGCTTCAGACAAAATATTCTAACTTTAATTCATGAAAATATTCAGAAATGTTCAAAAACAGTGGATCCTACAATTCCCTTAATGCAATTATTTGCATATGGTCATTCAACTCTCCCTGAAACTCGTTTTTGAATAATCTTTAACCTTTTTAAAGTTAAAGAGAATATTATGTAACTATTTCACAGGTTAAGTTGTGTTCCCCATGTTCCCTATATATGTCAAATTAAATTGTACCCCATAAATATATTTTTCTTGGCTTAAGTTAAGATGGACATTTTTTACAGTGCTCTTCTCTCCATCTGCGCCAATCCCCTTCCCCAGTTTCCTGTAAAAATGGCGGGACCCGAACCATATCGAGGAGGGACAGGCTTTGTTTATTAATCGATGCTTGTGATTGATCCTTCAGTTTATCGCCTATAACAACCCTCTTTTTTCCTCGACTAAAATGTAGGGCTCTAGCATTGATTATATTCAGACTGAGAGATATTGAAGTCGCCAGACACTCCGTGGATAATTAAGCTCACTTGGAGAACCTCGTTAATATATAATAACGTGTGTGTGTGTGTGTGTGTGTGTGTGTGTGCGCGCGCGTGTGCGTGTGCGTGTGTGTGGTGACATTTCCTACCTCGTGTCATAGATGGCGAACAACTTCTTGTTTCCGTCAACAGCATTCCTGAAAGAAAAGGGCGATGACATCATTAATGCTAAAATAGCTTTTAGCCAATTAAAATGACTTAAATCACAACCATTAACATATCTATTGTTGGGAAATATTGGGGTCTCCTATTTTCACCATATGCTTGGATGGCTTTTAATTCACATTTGAGCAGTTTCATGAACCTTAAAGGTGTGTGTGTGTGTGTGTGTGTGTGTGTATAAACTAATATGTGCAGCCCTCTGTTTCAGGTAAGCAGGAGTCTGAAACAGTGGGATGCCTGCAGGGCAAAATATTGAAAGGCACTGAATTTCCTTTGGGAGAGCCCCTCACCCCCACCCTCTCATCTCCACACACACACACACACACACGCACACACACACCTCTCTTTCCTTACACACTTGCCCCCTCTGTCATCACTCTGCAGGAGCTGTCCGTGGTGTTGAAATCAGCCTCCAGAGGGGACACCATTTCATGTTCCTGCTGTTACTTCCCCGCGCACAGACTGCCCCTCCAGACGGATTAAGTAAAGTGTAGGCATGTTAAATATCAGACACTAATTATACCGGCTGCGAAACGTGGATCTCGGCTTCCCTCTTATGGCAACCGTCAGGATGATAACGATTCCAGACTTTTCTGAAGAAGGCTTTAATTGCATTGCATGTTTTGACAGTACATACAGTAGGCCTATGCATATTCATGATTTAACATAAATAAACCAGCATGCAAAAAGTAGTTAGGCTAGTTGCATAAACCAAATAAATGCCGTTTGTTGGTTGATCTTGCAGTATTTTACTCACTCACTCAGATGTATAAAAACTCACATCAAATTAACGTTTTCTTGAGCCTTCACAGACACCGTAAAACATCCAGCAGCACTGTTTTTAATATCAGATCTCTCGGTGTTTTTGGCAGTGTTTTTATTTTTTATTTTAAGTGTCTCAGACTTATGCAGTCAGCAGGTTAGTTACGTTAGTCTGCAGAAAGTTTGTGGAGTATCTCCGAAAAGGTGAGCAGATAACGTTAAAAGTAACTGAAAAGGGTTTGAAATAGCGAAAGTAATATAGTATATATAGTACCATAGATCAGATAAATGAATGAGTTTACTAAGATACAGGTATTAAACGGTGGAAAACGTGTCTTAAAGTCATGCAAATGTAAATTATCACAAATCCTAATTATTGATCCCCTGGTGCGAATTGGGTTACGTAAGATCTTTATATAATTGATCGATAACAGTTCAGATGAACATTTGAAGCATGGCAGGTGATGTTAATCTGACAGGGTGACGATAAGGGGGAAACTGACACTTTAAATGTTGAATTCAGCGATAGCGTTTTAAATCCCGCACCTGATTTTGTTAACATCTGACTTCCCACCCCCTTAGTTTCCCTGCCAGTGCGCCTCCTCCTCCAAACCCACCAATGGGTAGCACCTATTATAAAAAATGATTAGCCTGTCTTGCAGCACCGGCAGTAGGCGGTATAGCATCGGGAAGGAAAAAAATGTGGAGAGAATCCAGTCTCCTGCGAGGCTGGCGGATAAACGCGTGTGATGCTGCTGCTGCAACACCTCTGGAGGCGATGCAGGAGCGGCGGTGCAGCAGACACTAAAGCGGGGAGACAGACACTAAAACACCGCCTGAGAGACAGCAGAAACACCGGAGGGGCTACGGAGGATTAGCTGATTGAACCCGTGATCGCCCAGTTTCTCAGACGGAGACCCCCAGCCTCCATTCGCAGCATAAGATGGTGATGGATATGCATTCAGGTACCCCGTTTTTTCTGGCTTTTTTTGTATAATTAGACACAGCATGGCAAATGAAAATGAGATTTTGTTGATGGAGAGAGTGGAAAAAGGTTATGGTGGTGGGGGGGGGGTGGCCCGTGTGAAATGTAATGCACTGGATTCAAACGCAGTGGGAGATTTACACAATGGGGATCACACTGCAGAAAATCTCTGTTCTTATGTAGGCTATTGTCTTCATGATATCTAAGGATGTCTAGTGTATCTGTGAGGTAGGTGTTCTGCATGTTAAAGAGTTGCAGCCTCATTGAGCAGAGATCGTCCCACCGCTTGATTTAGTGATTCCTGTAATGCTCTGTCTGCAGCTGAGTTTCTTTGTGTGAGTTATTGGGATTTTTTTTTGCTAGATTTGTCATATTTAGAGGATAGTGAAACCCCATTTTTGTGTGTTTGGTGCATTCCTGATGCCATTTTTTTTGTCTCTGTAATTGTGTTACAGCTAACAAAGTGAAGAGAATTTCAATCATGGCGAGGCTCGTCTTTTCCCTCCTGCTCCTGTGTGGATGCCAAAATAGGTAAACAAAGAGCTGATAACGTCCCATTGTTACAGATGTCATGCTTTAGAAGTGGAGTGTGATTTCCATGC